TAAAAAATGAGTCTGTCCTTGACGACAAAGAGGACGTACATTGTAAGGATGAGGTGGATGTACACATGGAAGACCTACCTGAGCATTCTCAGTACAACGATTGCCATGGCGGCTGACATTGAGCATGCCCACCATACACTCTCGACAAATGGCACGTTGATTGCAGGCCAAAATAAAGGAGGAACGTTCACTACGAAAGACCATGCATTCAGTATAGTGCCCATGACCGTCAAATGGACTTATAGTGTCTAGATGTGGAGGGTGCCTACCGTCAGGAATGAAAGGACAATCCTCTACACACAAGGATGCAAAACCATGTCAGTGTACTAGTTGTGACAGGGATGATGGTGGGTACAGCCCAATATAAAGGTGTTTGCAGATGTATGAAGGAGAAGGTTGCAGAGCGTTGGCACATTGTACTGCTGTAGCATAGGACCAGAGGAATGATCTTCGACATAAAAGAGTTTGCGGACGGTTTGGTGTGGCAAAAAAATGGCATCATTATGTAAGCAATCAGTAACATCAACCATGGTATGGACCATGACGCTGTTGTCCCACAACTCCCAATGGTTAGAGGCATGTACAATGGCCATGTAATGGCCAGGTCGGTCCACAATGCAGGCAGAGATGTGGGATGGAGGATCAAACCTGCTCGAGCATTGCGTAGTTCAAGTTGGTGGTCCCTCATTGCTACTTATAGGACAGCAATGGTGAAGCCTCTTTCCCTGGTGTAATTGCAATCCTATGGCTGTAGGCCGGGAAGATCAGCATCAAGCTGAAGGGCGATTGCAAGGAAGTCTGACGGTCTACAAAATGGGTGGTGACGAATGTGAAGACAAATATTAGTTGCTGTCAAACCACATAGATTGGTGAGGATCTCAAGCTGCTACTGGCCAACAATTGGAAGATCACCCCGATGGTGTTGCAAGCCCAAGATGTTTTGGGTTATTTGCTGATCAATCATTTGCAGATCACCCATATGGTCTGCACGTGGCGGGGCACAAATTTGCAGTTCATCCAGACGATGTTGATCAGCCATTTGCAAATCCCCCATGTGGTCTACGCTTTGTGGGTTTAACTGCAATCCGGGTCAATCATGTTCCAATCCGTCAACGTTTGGGGCTGAATTATGTTCCAATCCCTCGACGTTTGGGGCTGCATCCTGAGCAGGGACTGTGCCTGAAATTGGGAGTGCACTTTGGGCGGGGGCTGCATCCTGTTGTGCAGGTAACTTGTGAATATCTAACGCTGAAGGGCATGAAACATGGTCCCGTGGCTGCCTGCAGGCAGCTGGACTGTCTGCAGGAGGCATAGGGGCGGATATTGTTGTTTGGCACAAAGGAACCGCAATAACTTGTGGAGCAGGCCGAGAGAGAATCGGGGTAGACAAAGAAACTAGCTGCTGATCCCCGGACAAGCAACGTTGCAGCGCACGTCGGCGACGATGCACGATAAACAGAGTAGTGGTGTTGCAAACTGAAGATGAACGTGTCTCTGGTAATGAAGATGGAACAACGGGAACAATGGGAACCAGTGAGTCCGTTTGCAAGTGAGACCGTGGAGGAGATGGGGGTGGCGAGGAGGAGCGCAAATATCTATGGCCAAGTACAGAACGAGATGAGCGGGGGGTAGATTGAGAAAAATTTAAAAATAAAGGACCTAAGTGTCGGGGAGTTAGTGATGTTCTTTGCAGTGGAGCTGCGACAGTAGAAACTGCAGCAGGGGGAATTGCAGGTATGGAAACTGCTGAATCAAAAACTGCAGTAGTAGAAACTATAGCATAATAGCAGTATATTTTTGGCCCGGCCAGGCAAGTGATCTCGGGCCACTCTGATAACCTAGGCACTGAGCAAATTCTAATCATAAAAGAGGTCATTTGACAGTCCACTCCAGGACAAGCCCAGCAGGCTATCTATCCAAATTCTTTTCCTAGCCGATAGCGAAGCACAACAAAAAACGAAATGGAAGCCCAGAACATCGACCCGCAGAGCGAGACGCTGGAGACTTTTCGACTGAGAAAAGTAAGGGTAGCCAAGTCCAAACCCTGGAAACTGTTCCGACCGGATCTGTGCATCTCAGAACTAGAATTTGACCCAAAAGAATGGATATGGAAACAGGGTAACTTAGGGAGAACGAGAACAATAGCTGAGTATGATGTCAAATTCGGCTATGACTTAGGCCTACAGACCACAGACCCTGGTCCCAGACTCGGAAGCAAATTTTGGGAAATTCTGAGTTTGGACCCCTCGACCCCCATATCCATCCCATGGACCAAATTCCTAACCATTAGACCGGCGAGGATTCGAAGCATGCAATGGCACTTAGCACACACCTCTCTGCCAACCAATCAATGGCTCCACAAGAGAAGAAAGTACACAGACCCCGACAGCACTGATATATGCAGACTGTGCACAGAAAACGCCGTGGAAGACATACTCCACTGCACGGAAGCAACATGGATATGGAACAAAGTGCGCATCCTATGGACCTCTCTCTTCTCGTCACCCCCCCCAGCCACAACCCCCCTGAACATCCTGCTCCTATCTAATGACACTAACAATCTCAAAGGTGGCAAGGAAGTGTGGTTCCACCTTCTCAGAAAGCTGGCGCTATGGGTAATCTGGAAGAGGAGATGCTCCAAGACGATCGCAGCAACAGAGGAGCCAAGAGAGGAAATGTGGGCTCTACTGCTGACGATGGCGGAAACAGAGATTCGATCCAGATGGCGAGAAGTGACCACGACGACCAAAGGCAGACCAGAAAGGACAGCCACAAAAAGGCGTAAATTCATTAGAGACTGGCTTCTACAGGGAAAGATCGCCACCGTGGTGGACAACAGAGTGGTGTGGAGGAAGTGGCACAACACAAGAACAGGGTCCCATTGAAGTGCAAAATGAGATGATAATCTCAACAGCCTAGACAACTCTCCCCTTTTCTCGCTTTCTACGTAGTATCTGGCAGAGTCACTATAGACTCTGAGAGGAAAAGAGGTAGGGCAAGCTGACAGTCAATCCTCCGGAAAAGGAGCAATCAATGCTGGTCAGGGTTCCTTCGGCCAGACGGAAGGAAGCGTGTGGATGTTCACCATGTATTTCATTTTTCGGCTTGCCGGTGGAAAGGAACCGGACTGACGCTCCCCAGAATGGATATGGAGCCAGGACCATAAGGACCTGTTTGTAATAAAAAAAAAAAAAGGTAAAGAGATAGAGTCAAAAGCACAGAGTCAAGTAAGGTCCTGACACAATTATTCCGAAGGGAAGCAATCTATGCTGTCAAGATCGTTTGGGAAATAGCAGTTGAAGTTAGCGTGAAATACAGGGGTGGAACAAAGGTAGGTCCTCCCAATCGGGTAGCAGTTAATGTCCCTGTCTCAGGATCTCTCGTAATGCGGAGAGACGTTGAGTGAGTACATCTGATGTGAGGGACTACATCTGATGTGAGGGACGCTGGACCCGGTTTCCAGCATTATTAACTAGAAACCTGATTTCTGTTCGGGAAAAAAGGATAAGGGCATAGGGAGGGCAAAGGGACACAGGTGCGGTGGGGCAGTAGTATATCCTGACTCAGGACGTAATCAATGCCACTGTCTCAGGATCCCTTGATCATAAGGGAGGGAAGTGGTGATTGGGTTTCTGATGTAAGGGATGCTGGACCCGATTTCCAGTTATTAATGTAAGGCTCACATGATTAAACAATATATACACCAAAAATTTATGGCACAATGGCAGAAAGTTAAAAATCAGCTGGATCTGTTTCAGGCACAGAAAGATGTAAAACAAACAATTCAACAATTTTCACGGGACTGGCTGGGCAGCGAGAATGGGGGCCGGATCGCCTTCATCAAGTGGGATGGTGGTCGCGCCCAGGAAGGCAATGAAGGCACCAAGGAAGGCAACCAGGGGACGATCAAGAGAGACTATTATATCTGCTTCAGAGATTGGACAACGGTGGGCCAAGGGATCCTGTTGCGGCCACCCTCGGACTTTCCCGACCCTTTCCCGCCCCATTAGCTGACTATGCTGGACATGCAATGGTATGGACCGGAGTAAGTAGGACAGAAGCGGGTAGATTGCAACGGTGCCGGCAGACAAGCTGCTTCATTAGGGTGTGACTGAGTCTAGGATCCGGGGAAACTTCGTCCCTCCAGCTGAACCTGTTATGGTCCCCTTCCCAGCCCTCTTTCCACCACCCCCACCACCCCCATCTTCCGTTCACTACCACTATCATCATGGCACAAACGGTTAGCATCAAAAGGGATGCTGGGCCCGGTTCCCAGCATGAGACTGGTCTACCAACCTGATGTTGTACTTTCGCTGAACCCATTTTCCAGCAGGTGCAGCTTCCCACCAATAGACTGCAGCCCCTGCAAGACAGGTAGGAGTGCATGCTCTTATCATCACTCCTATCTGTCGATGCAGGGTTCAAAAAAAAAAAAAAAGGCTCAGTACATGACAGTAAGAGAGACTTTTTTTTCTCTTGGTTTTTGGTAAAAGAAATTATAAATTCAGTTGTTGTGAACCCAATTGCTGGTTATGAAAGTTCCATTGTGCTAGGAGCTTGATGCTTTTTCCGTGACTGCATAACGAAAATGAGCTCTTAATCAATCAGATCAACCAAAATCAGGTTTGGGGGAAGGTTCAAATTTCAAAGTCCATTCATTTGGTACATTGTGTCCAGTGACTCCAGTCTGAATTCAGCACCAAGTTTGTAACTTCAATTAGTAGTACTTTTAATTTTCTAATACTTTCTATGTGCTATTGTGTGATGTAATGATGGATTACCAGGAGAACACAGTCAAACCGTCAAAGTAAACCGACAAATGCACCAGGATCAGAACCAGGACCAGGCCTAGAATCGTGCCTCAGAGCAAGTTGTTCCAGCATAAGGAAATTGGCAATAGCACGTTCCGTTGAAGCACCGCCCCCTCCCTGAACAGGACTCATCTTTGCAGCCGGAACTGAGACACAGGTCCCATGCAGCCGGGCATGGGCCGAACTCACCACTGCTATAGCCGGCCTTGGAAGGAAGAGCCACAAACTGATTCTCAATACACTCTATCTCAACTCCGCTGATGTTCACATACAGCCTTGCATTTCCGTCTTTATCCCATTCACAGCGGCGGGGAAAACAACCTGCCCCCTCCGGCTCATGGCTCCATCCATTCCTCACCCAAATGGACGCCCCATCTGCGAAACAACTGTCATAACCGTGATCGAACAAGAGCAAGAGGAAGGGAGAATAGAAAGCAAGGAAAAGACAACAAGAAGAGGCATCAGCCTACTAGGAAGCCATCGCCGGCTAGATGTTTCCTTGATGTTTTGTACTCTTAGCTTCGGTCGACTCTTGTAACTGCAGGATGTCACAAAACAATGTGGTACATATTATGTAGAATATGCAGTATACACTAGATAGTGGATACTCCCTGCCACTGTGGAAGGTAAAGAAGGTGATGTTCTCCACACCAGAAAGTGGTGGATGTGCTTTCTGATTGTTGTAAAAGAAGCACCAATCTGAGTAGGTTGATGCTTTTTCCTTTTTCCTTTTTACGAGAATTGGACTTTTTAAGTTTTTATTAATAATGCTGGAAAACGGGTCCAGCGTCCCTTACATCAGATGTACTCAGTACTACTCACCCAATGCTTCTCCCCGTTATGGTCGAGAGATCCGGAGACAGCGGCATTGATTACTGCCCGATCGGGAGGATTTACCACTGCTCCATGCCTGCTTTTCACCTTGACTGTCTCCACTATTTCCTGAACAGCGTTGATTGCTTCTCTTTGGCAGGATTAACTGTCAGATCCTTACCCGACTTTTGTGCTCTGTACTTTGACCGTCTTCTCTATCTCTAGCTATTTCAACAATCCTTCTAGTTGGAAAAAAGAAAGTAAGACTGATCTCGTTTTTTTCTTAGAACAAAGTGAAAACGAAAAACAGGTTGTTATGGGCCTGACTCAAACGTGTTCCGTTACAAACTCAAAACCTACAGATTTAACCTGGAAATCAATAAGAGAGAGAAGCGAAAATGTGGACCATGATTCCATGTTCGAGGTCCCATGAACAAAGTACCTCATCATCAAACCCACGAAAACTCGTAGCCTGCAATGGCTGTTAGCCTCTGCCGCCCTACCAGTTAATCAACGGTTACACGAGAAAAGGAAATACTTAGATTCCCCAACACCACTGACATATGTGCAATGTGCACCAACAAACTAGCTGAGGACGTTATCCACCACCTGCTAACTTGCTCTGCAGCACCTTGGATCTGGCCCATCTGGGAAAGGTCAGATATCCGTGAACCTCCCTCTTGTCTTCCCCCCTGCCTGCTCTCTCCCTGAATTCCATCCTTCTATCTGTTAACCAAATCCCTTAAGGGGAAGCAAGCTAAACCGGTCCCAACTACTCATTGATCAGAATGGTCGAAACTGAAATTACGTGCAGACGAAGTGCTACTAAGCGCCCAGCCAAAAGCTCAGACCAGGGAGTTTTCCAATTATTGGACTCGAAAGAACCCTGTATTGTTATGTATTGTCACTACCTCGCTATGTCAATTGGGTAATTTTTTACTAATTTATGCACCTGCTGCCTTCCTTGGATGTGATTAGGACAAAGAAGCAAGCTTCCACAGGGAACGGCTGCTGTGAGCCAAGATAGCGAACATTGTCTACAAGAGGGTGAAATGGAAGAATTAGCAGACAATAGGGGTCAAGGTCTCGAACACACAGGGAGTCAAAACATTCACAACTGATCCCGAGAGAGCCGACCTGCTGCAAGCTCAACTTTGATTACTTAACTTGTTCAATTCATGAACTCCTACAGGTCTCGACAATCACGTCATTATGACAGTCCCCAGCACATGCCGAGATTGAGAGGAAGTGAGTGCTTCTGGCTATCTGACAGTCAATCCTCCTTCAAAGAGTAATCAATGTTGGCCAGGGGTCCTTTGGCCTATATGGAAGGAAACGCGGAGTGGTTCATATCTTCTATTCATAACTTGCCGGTGGAACAGAACTGGACTGATGCTCCCCAGAATGGAGAAGAACCCAGGACCATAAGAGAAAACAGAAACAAGCTCAAATAACTTCCAACTGGATTGATGCTCCCCAGAAACAAGGCAGTAAAGGATGTACAAAGGAAAGCCTCGGCCTACCTGTGGACAGGGGATGCTTCCACAGTCATAGAGCCAGGTATGGATCTCAGTAAAGTCATCAAAGACTCGACAGCAAAGATTTCTGTTAGAGAAGACCAGCTTGGGAAAATCAGAGTAATGGAAAATGACGAACTCACTCTATTTCACCCCCGAACTGCACTAGAGGACTTAGAAGTAGACCCGACAGAATGGGCATGGAACCTCAAACACCCACATCTGGAATAAACCTCAAATTTAACCTTCTCCACTACCACAACTAGACTAGGATACAGACTAAGACGCAGATCAGTAGCCCCTGAACCAGTCATAGTTGAACGCTGGTGGAAGCATTTAGAAGTAGATCCGGAAAAACTAGTCCAGATTCCGTGGAACCAAATTACTACTCTGCAACCCCCCAAATCCAGGAGCCTGCAATGGCTAACATTATATTTAGCACTCCCCCTGAACCAATGGTTGAATGTTAGAAGAAAGGAATACAGAAGGCCCTTGAAAGAATTGTGTGCTAATTGCACTGAGGGCCAAACAAAGAATCTCTTTCACTGCTTTTCCTCTGTTCCAGGATAAAATATCCAGGATTTGGGAATCACTTCTAAGGTCTTCACAGTAAACCCTACCCTCCTATTGCTAGGTTTCACAACTCCTGAAGACTGGATCCCGCTACAAAACAACTTCTTCCGAATTGTTAGGAAAGCAACGCTTTGGGTCATTTGGAGGAAAAGATGCCAGGAAACAATAGATAAGCAACCAATGCACTTAAATGAAGCTTGGCGCCTGCTTCAACAGCAGGTAGAAACCGAATATTGGGTCTTATTGCGCAAAGTGAGAACGAGAATGAAAGCAGATGGTCCACGCAAAAGAACACAAACAGAAATTCGAGGAAAAATATCTAGAGAAGGGCAAAATAGCTGACATCAAGGGTCAAGGTCTAACTTTCACACTCTGGGAGGGTGCCCCCCGGGCTTTCCAACCAGACACAGAGTCCCTTGACAACATACCCGACTCATTCGTTGCTCACATGCATACCAACAAGTTTAGAGAAACAAATGCCTAGCCCAACCACACCACAAGACTTACACATGTTTCGCTCGTCACTGTCAGCCGTCGCATCCTCAGATCACATAATCATATGCCTACCGCCCCCGCATACACAAGGAACATTAGGATCTAGCGGCTTATCAAAGAGAAATACAGTTAACAACTTAACAGCACTAACACTTTTCATTCTCCCCTTCCTACTAACAGCTTAAGGTCAATGGTTTAAGCAATTATACCTTGTTGGTTACGCTAGGGTTTAGAATTTAAGCAGGGAAGCACTGACATAATTTGCTCTTCATAGGAGCCCAATGACCTTTCCACGAGAAAAACAAACCCGTCCAGTGTATCCCATGACAAGTAAGTAGTATTACCCCAAATAGATGTGTTCAGGCCAACATCAAATCCAGAAAAACACAGAGGGAGAGAGAGAGTTAGGTGTTAGGGTTTAGGGTTTAAGGAATAGGCGTTTGAAGCTATCTACAGAGACAGATAATGCCAGACCTAACTTTGTATCTACTTTGAGGGGTGGTACATCCTTCCCAAAGGAAGTAATCAATGCCATCCACTCGGGCCTCCCAACCATAATGGGGAGGAACGTACGTGAGTTCTTAATCATTGACTTGCCGGGGGAATAGGAACCGGACTGTCGATCCCCACAATGGCAGGAGCCAGAACAGAGAGGTTCTGTTTAAAAATAAAAAAAACTTCCAACTTTTCCAAGTGAATAAAGGTAATGGGTCACACAAACATCAGAAGTCGCTCACAAGTAAGTAAAGAAAATGAACAGCACAATCGTTAGAGAAGAGAAGCCAGTTGTTTTGATCACCATACATGAGGCATTTCATGTCACAGTAAACATACAGTGATCACTATGAGTGGCAGTCCATGCCCGTGCACTGCCCTTCTAGCTAATGAAGTGCACATCCCTTGCACTGTTTAAAACATGAATGCTGGGACACAGCCCTGGAAAAGGCACTTTCCAAACCATTTCCCGTGCCAGTTCTATCGCTTTCACCCTCCCCACCGACGACGACTGCCAGGCCCCAACGAATTGGAGTTCGGTTAAGTGAAGTACCGTGAGGTTGGACCATTTCTATAGCCAAAGTAATCCAACGACTCGTCAAGAATGTTGGGATCCTGGATCTGACAATCTCCTCGCCTGTGCCTACGATACTCAGAGCAGAGCAAGCAGGAGGAAGTCCAAGTCAGCAGTAAAAGAAAATAAAGCAGAAGATAATGAATCTATGGTGGGAATCCAGGCTACGTCATAATCATCTTTTTTTTATTTTCTTTTTTTATTTTATTTTGGACCATTTGTCGATTGGTGTGTGTCATCCTTGCACAGGGGCCATGCTAATCTTCCCTGTCTTGTTCCAATTTTAATGGATGTCCCAAAGGACAGGTCATAATCATCTTTCTTTCTTTATCACACAACGTTCGAAGTTCGAAGTTCACAAAGTTCAAACCCTTGAGAGTGGAAATCTTAATTGCTGTTTCTCAGCTGCATCACTTTTGGGCCACACAATGATGGATAGGTGAAGACATCTCTTTTTGGGTGGTGTCGGACACAGGATGGCTGTTTTCTACCGTCAATGAGTAACAGGAATTTTTTGTGTAAAATTGTAAAACGATGATTTACTTTTGCATCAATCAAACTTTTTGGGGGGGTCGTTGTCATGCAATATCATACTTGCTGGCATCCCCTTGTATGTCATGCAATATCATACTTGCTGGCATCCCCTTGTAATGCACTTGTTGGGAGGGACCCCGGGGACGGAAGTGTGCAGCACATGCACGACCTTCCATTGTAGGGCAAAGAACGTCCAAGGCTCATTGTGAATGTCAAGTCGTCAACATATCAGTTCCTCGACCAAAAACATTAAGACAAATGAAAGGATTTCACGTATCTCAAAAGTCCCGGTCCCACTCGGAGTCGTGATGTCCCATGTGCCATACCCCCGACCGGTGGGACCGATGATAGGCCAGTAGAAATTACAGTCCAGGCCATATGGTAGGCCCGTTTAGGTCCGTACAGACGGTACAAGTAGTTCGGTTGTCAGAAACCGATAAGCCCTGTCAGTCCGTCAGTCTGTTGCAGCTCAGTCCCAGTAAAGCCGGTGAACACTCTGGAAGCATCAGAGGTCGTCTGCAGTCTCAAGGAGGTACCAACACTGGAAAGTCCGAAGATTGGGAAATGCAGCAAGTGCAAAGTCCAGACCCAACCAAACGTTAACAGAACTTCCATTTGTGCCTGTCATGGAAGCACTGGTGCAAAACTTCTGTTCAAGCCTGGATGAGGGCAAAGACAGTTTCAGTCAACAGGTGCCACGTGCCATAGCTGCAGATTAGGGAGAGAGCGAGAGACTTGGCAGCCATAGCCGCACATGTGTACATACATGAGGTGTTGTATAAGACTCCAAATTTCCAAGCAATTTCTGAGTGCTCTCATATCGTGTCGAGTGCCTCTCTCATGTGTGAAGCTTGCATGTAATGAAATGTGATCCCGTGTTGGTGTGAAACAGTGGTAGCGGAGCGCGGAGTGTCCTTGTCTTTCAGACTGCGCAGTCTGGACTCCGTGGGCACACAAGGTGAATTGGCTGGTGTGGTGTGTTCAAGTCCACCAGGCGGATAAAACAAACAAAAAAAACTTTGGCTGATTGGCGACAGTGGAGAAGTTGGAGTTGACCAGGGAGGAGAGGCCAAGGTGAAGGAGGAACTTACCTGTAGCATGGAGCAACTGGAGTAAACATGGAGCTCTTCGACGACCGATTTCGGAATGAAGTGCTTCTCACCCCCAGCCTTGCATGTGCTGTATGTTTCGTGTTTTGATACCTGGATGTTGTCGGTCCATCCCTGAAGATTCAGCTGCTTTCATCAATTCTTTTTCTTTTTTTTTTTCTTTTTTTTTTTATTATAACAGGTCCTTATGGTCATGGCTCCATGTCCATTCTGGGGAGCGTCAGTCGGGTTCCTATTCCCCCGGCAAGTCAAAAGATTACAACGTTTTATCCACACCACGCTTCCTTCCGTCTCTGACCAGCATTGATTACTCCTTCTAAGGAGGATTGATTGTCAACTCGCCCTGACCACTTTTTCCTCTCAGGCTTCTATTCAGAGCCTGTCGAATGAGTCCCTGCAATGCAAGAAAAGTAGGGGGTTCTGCTCAGAGTTCTGTTGCTTGTCCTTGTCCTTCGTTGTGTCCGGCTTGCCTTGTTGTTGATCCCCCTTCGGGGCCTTATTGGCCTTCTGCCAGGGCATCCGGCGGGAGACCTTGTAGACTTCATGATTGTGCCTGGTGCCATTTCTTCCACCTCAACATGTTGTCAACTATTGTTGATACCTTGCCCCTTAGCAGCCAGTTCCTCATGAAGGTCTGTTTCTTGGTTGCTTGTCCTTCTGGTCTGTCTTATAGAGTTGACTATTCTCCGCCATCTGCTTCTGATTTCCATTTCTGCCATGCTCAGCAGTAATGACCACATTTCGTCCTTAGCCACCTCTGCACCCTCGATTGTCTGAGTGCATCTGCCTTTCCATATTACCCACAGTGCCAGCTTCCTGAGCAGCGTAAACCATACTTCCCTGCTGCCTGTGATGTTGCTGGGGATGTTAGTTAGGATTGGGATAGAGAGAGGGGGAATAGCAGGGGGCGGCGAAGCGAACAGGATCGACCACAGCTCGCGGACCTTCTTCCATACCCATGTTGCTTCTGGGAAGAAGAGGACGCAGTGCGGGATGTCTTCGGTAAAGTTGTTGCTGCACATTGAGCAGCATTCCGAGCTATCAGGGTCGGAATGTTTCCTTCTAGTATGTAGCCATTGGTTGACGGGAAGGGCTGCATGTGCTAGTAGCCCTTGCAAGCTGCGGATTCCGATAGGTCTGATGAGAAGGTATTTGGTCCAAGGGATGGTGAAGGGGATCGTGTCATCTAGGTTCAGTATGCTTCTCCATTTTTCTGTCAGCCTTGGATTTGTGTCCCTGGTTTGTAGTCCGAGGTTATACCCGAACTTTACGTCATATTCTGTTATCGTCCTCGATTTCCCGGTGGCACCCAGATCCCATATCCATTCCTTTGGGTCCAATTCCAGCTCCTTAATGCTGAGTTCCGGCTGGAAGATGAGCCATGGTTTCTTGTGAGAGACTCTCACCTTCCTGAGAAGGTAGGTTTCTATTTGTTCGTTCTGTGGTGTTCTGTCTAGGACCTCTAGTTCGTATATGCTGTGTTTGATGATGGGGTCGGATATGAACTTGGCCTTGTAGTTAATCGGGTCCGGTTTGGACACAAAGCGGTAGGCTCTTGTTGGTGGGGTCTGTGTGGTAAGCAGTCCCCAGTCTCCTGGTTTCCACGTGTGTGATTCTTTCAGGAGGGTCGTCCATGGGGGAGGAATGCTTTGATGGATTTCTGACAGGTTGGTGGTCAGTAGGTGGCATCCTTTTAAGGATGTGCAAAGGTCCTGTTCGGTTAACTATTCTTGTCGGTCCTCAAACCACAGATGTTTGACCTGCCATACTCCTCTCTCCACCCAAGACAACCACCTGCGGTCTTTGGCCCCAGGGTCCACGGTCTGCCCTCTATGTCTTTAATCTCAGGATTGCAGAACAGGGGTTGTCTTAGGACTTCCTCTTTGTTGCTCGGGGGCCCTTTCTTTTCTTGCATCAGTCGGCGGCAGGTCTTCAGGATCGGAGACCAGTAGGGGGTGGGTGTAGCGGGGGGTTGAATGGTTGTCACTGGGTTAGTTTTCCTTGCTGGTCTCCCCGACTTGATTGTCCACTCCTTTGCCATGATCCGGAACAGGTCACTCATGTTCGTTGGGGCACTACCGGTGCCAAATTCCTTATGCTGTCTACCACCATCTTGGTCCACAGGAGGGCTTGTTTGGTTAGGATTTTGGTTATCCATTTCATTTGGAGGGCGATCGCTTCCTGTTTAGGGTCGATTATACCTAGTCCGCCTTCGTGTGGTTTCCTGAAGCAGTTTGCCAGGCCACCTTGTTTATGCAAGTGGTTCTACTGGGATCGTCAGTCTACAGGTAACACCTGCCTCTAGCCTTCAACTTCTTCAGGTTGTTGTCGGGTGGGGACCATATGGAGGCCATGTAGCATAGAGTGGAGAAAACAGTTTTGTTGATGATCAAGGCTCTCCCTAGCAGGGAGGCCTGGGGTTTGTTGCAGATGGCTAGACGTGTTATTGTTCTGGCGATTAAAGTCTCTCCCATACCTTGCCAGATGTCATCTCTGCTTACCATAATGCCCACGTATCGGAGTGTTTGGTCGCCTGTGGTCCATGACATTGGGGTGGATGGGTTTGGAGGTTGGGGGAGGGTGCCTTCCGCAAGCCACCACCCTTTCGTTTTCAACCAGTTTACGTTCATTTCTGAGGCGAGTCTGACGGCTTCCATAGCGTGGGCCAGGACCTGGAAGGAGGAATTACTGGCGCGAATGAGGACTATGAGATCATCTGCGAACATTTATGCAGTGGGGAGAACGAAGTCATGGAGGGGGTTGTGGTTTTGTTCAGCCAGCCGGTCTATGGATGGATCCTTGCAGAGGAGAAATGCAATGGCTTCCATTATGAACAAGAATATTGGGGGTGCGAGGGGGTCGCCTTGACGGACCGATCTCGATATCGGATAGGTGTCTGCCATTTTGTTTATCTGCACCCTTCCTGTGGCATCCCGATAGAGCACTTTTACCCACTCTCTGAAGTTTGGGACGACTCCCACCCTCTCCATACAACTGTGTAGGAAGTCCCAATTGAGTTGATCGTAGGCCTTTTCGAAATCGAAGAATAGGATCGTCGCTTGCATCTGTTTCTCTGTGATCTTCTTTGCAGCCTCGTTTAGAGCAACCACATTATCCAAAATGTATCGACCCAGAATGAATCCTACTTGGTCGATATGAAAAGATTTGTCTGTTAGTTTTATGATTCTGTTTGCTAATGCCTTTGCTAGGATTTTATAGCTAGGTAGCATGGGTTATCTGGCCGGATAATCTGGTCGGATTATCTGGCCGGATGATCGGGGGGTAGGATCATCCGAAAATCCGGATGATAAAAAAAAAGGCCTAAAAAAAGCAAAAAAAAAAAGTGATATTACGCATGCAAAATACAATAGAACACGTTCCTATTTCATGAAAAGCTTGATAGGGCCTCGAAGGGTTCAAAGGGAATAAGATAGGGAATAAAGGGGTTTAGAGGGGGGATGCTTAATTCATTCTGTAATTTTTTATCTGAATATTATTTTCTTGTTCTATTTTATTTTTTATCTTCATATCTGTTGAGTAATCAAAGATGGCCTCGAGCCAAAAGTTGTTCATATCATTGATATGAACAACATAATTTTTTTCCAGATTTTTTTGAATTTTGTTTTTGGGTAAAAAAAAATATTTTGCGCAGGGTTGGATTTTCCATATCCGAAATTAATCCGGATTGAAAATTCCGGATAAAATTTGTCTGCCGGATATATGGATTTGCTACTTAGTTTTATAGGGCATTGTGAGAAGTGAGATTGGTCTGTAGTTCTTAAGGTCCTCCCTTGTCGCCCTAGTGAGACTACGTTGGTGCTTAGATATTGACCCCAGCCTGTCTTTTCCCTGCTGTCATTAATAAAGAGAGGTCATTTCCCAATGTGGGCCAGAATTGAATCCATAATTCTTTGGACAGGCCATCGATTCCTGGTGCTTTGTCGTTTCCCGTTTGGGACAAGGCTACGTGCAGTTCCCCTAGGGTGATTGGTTTGTCCAGGTCTTTCGTTTGTTGCTGAATAATCGTTCTCTCTAGGTAGGTCATCATGTGCTGATGGGCGTTGATGTTCGCTGATTGGGGGGGGGAGGTAGTTTTGGACTCGTAGAGGTTGGCATAAAAAGATCTTGCTATTCTTACCATGTCTGTACTGGCTGACTTTGTCTTCCCCTGGTCTGCTGGTCCTTCAATCTCTCGATCATGTTGTTCCTTGCAGTGACCTTAATTTTGGAGAAGAAGAATTTGGACATGGATTCATTCAAGGTGTAGTCATTCATCCGGGCGCGTATTTGTAGGCCCATGAGTGCCCATCTTATCCATTTATTTAATTCGTCCTCCGTAAGACTGGAGTAGGTTGTGATAGAAGGAGTTGGCAGAATCTGATGCGAGGTTGGTTTCAACGATGCCGAGAGCAATTTGCAATTCTTCCCTCCTGATTTTGCGTTCTGCTGCTACGCTTCTAGACTCTACCGAGACCGTCTGGGATAGGTCCGTGCAGTTGTCTATGAACCAATTGTGTTTGTTCTGGCGTTTCATCTCGTCCTGTTGTAAGAAAGCCCAATTCCATCTGACTGCCTCTGTCATGCGACTTGTGGAGAGAAGTGAGTTGTTGAATCTAAAAAAAACTTGCCCTTTTTCTACTAAAGAGTTGAAGTTGAGGGGCAGGTAGGTCGGTTTGTGATCGAGTCCCTTGAAGGCTGTTGCTGGTAGGATATCGGCCTCCTTGATTGCTCCCTGCAACATGTCGGAAATTAGGAAGAAGTCGATCCGTGATAGTGATGTGTGGTTGGATCGGTTCCTTTGGACTAGGGAGAAGCCTTTCTTGCGTGGGTGGAGGATTCCAAAAGGGTCTACCAGATCGAACTTTGTCATGATATTCCTCAGGTGTGCTCGCTCGTGTGGGTCCCAGCAGCATTGTCCGGGAGATGCGGTCCAAGCTGGGATCCATCATGGTGTTCCAGTCGCCTGCAATGATTTGCGGGAGGGGGTTTGGGAAGAGTGATTTGATGTGGTCAAAGAAAGCTAGGCATTCGGTTTCCGTGTTGGGGGAGTATATGTTCAGGATCCTGATCTCTTCCTCTTGCCAAGTGATTAGGATCCATGACCATCTACCTTCCGTTGTGTCGCCTTCGTCGTTGCTTACCTGTCCTTCCGACCAGATTTTAGAAGTAGTTGGTATATGGATCGTTATGCCACGGTTGCTTTGGTCCGCTTTGTTGGACCACAGTGTGAAAGGGCATCCACCTAGGTTTTTTTCCATGGGCCTCTTGATTCTGGTGTGGTTGGATAGATGGGTCTCTTGTAGAAGGATGACGTCGGGTTTGGGCTTTCTTTTGTCTGTGAGGCTGAGTCTGATGTCTCGTAGTCGCCTTCAACGAGAATGTTGCCCAAGCCGTTGACGTTCCAGCTATGGATCTTTTTTTACTCTCACTGTCCCAGACTGGTCCTCGTTGCAGTCCATTTGATTTTGTCTGGCCGGGTGCTGTGTCCAGATTGTTTTTTTTTTTTTTTTTTTTTTTTGCTCGGTTGGGTTCGGCATTTATTGGATAGGGTTGATAGTTGGAGGTTCGATGTATCTAGTCCACGGCGACAAAGGTTTTGGGGCTGCCCAACTCAGAGTCCTCGCTGTTCTCGCTACCCTCACTGATCTCTTTCCCCGGAACAGAGCTCAGGCTGTATGCCCCCGCGCTACCTCCGGGCATCCAAGTGGCTCCTGTCCCTGCTCCTTCCAGGGAACTCCCGTCAGCCACCTCGTATTCTTCGTTGTTGACCATACTTCCCTCATTGTCATCGGGCTCCACGTGGAATGTCATGGCTTCGTCTTGCAGGGAGTGATCTATGATGAGAATGTGGGGCCTGGTGATGGAGGCCAAGGAGACCGCCATGACCTCCGTCGGGCACATCTTGCTTGCAAGAGTGTTGTACGGCAGCGCTATCACAGTGTTCATGCTCTCCATACCAGTCCGTCATGTAATTTGGCTTTCTCATCCAATTTCACTATGATTGGCTCAAAAGACTTGGTTGGCCGCAGTGTTCATGCCCTGTTTCGTCTGCATTATCTAGATGGGCCGCTCGGACTTCATAAACGCCCGCAGGGAATTCATATGAGATCCCTTCTTTAATAGTTATGGCCAGAGACCTCTCGTCTCCCAGCATCAGGATAGTGAAGGAGACATCGGTGGCTACCTGCAACTCACTGAATTTCCTTCTGTACCGAACGGGGACCTGAGGTCTGACGACTTTGATTGTTTTGCAGTCTGATGCTGCTTTCTCAATAACGTGGGGAGCCCTGTTCTCCGCGACATTTCGGATTGTGCAGTACTCTTTGTTATTCCTCTTTCTGATCGAACAGGCACTTTGTCTGAGCAGCGACAATAGCTATCTCCTGTTTGATGGATCGCTGCTCGCTGCCTTTTTCCGATGTATCAGCTTGAGATTTCCTCGGCCTCTTGCCTTTGCCCTTCGAAGGCTTCCATTTTTTTGGTACCATTTCCCTGATTGGGTCCTTGCAGGACTGTGTGTCGGCGCTGGATTCCGCTTCAGAGCCTGAGACTTCTCTTTCCCTCTTCTTCTCGTGGTCACGGAAAACACCGAACTCCGATAGCTCTCTTTGTTGTCTCTGGATATCGTATGAATTCTTCGAAGTGTGGAACCCTGCTACCGTAGTCTTGTTGTTTCCGCTTGTCTTCTCTTGATGTTTCATGCATGCCACGCGAATGTCGAATTATTTTTCTCTCTCGTTTCTGGCTCTTTCGAGATATTTTTGCAGCCACGGGATAGGAGAGTTTCCCTTTCCTTTTTAGTTCTCTGCCTTCTCTTTTTTGGTGGGAGATATGTTCATTCCTTGTTGGGTTAAATCCTGGTCTGAATGGTCTGGGCCCATTAAGGAGGCCTGTGGGTTCTGGTTCTCAAAAGGTTCGCTACCCTCTGCGGGTGTAATACCCTTCCTTTTTTTCTTCCCGCTTGGTTCGTCGTTGTTGGTCTTTTGGGGTGAGGCATGTTGAGGGAGGGATCGGCCTTTGGGTTTGGTCCTTCGATGATATGTTTGGCTATGTCCAGGATGTTGTCATAGTCCTCTGTATTGGAGAGAGAGGCAGCTGTCTGCTGTCTGATCAACTCCAGATCCCACATCAAATCCTCATGCTTCTTTTCTTCCTTGATCACCCGGGAGTCGATCATCGGGTCAGAGTGGATTTCCCCTGGGATTCCCGTGGTGCCATTTGCTGTTCGAAGGAGGAAAGATGTCTGGCTGTTTGATCGGCGGGATGGTGTTAGTGTAGGTCCAGATCCATCTGGGATGTTATCGTTGAAGACCCAGTCGTCGCAGTCTGAGTCATTGACGAACCACATACCTTTAGCTTCTCTACTAACATGTTCTGCCTTAATTTTTTATGTTAAGTGGAGCGCGGGCACTTGGGATCCGTTCCCAGATGGCCCCTGGCTTTGCATCTAAAACAGATTGGGGACGCTTTGGTTGAGACTGTTACTGTCATGGCTGATGAGACATTGCCACTCTTTTGGGAGGATCGGGGGGTCATCGGTGAGTACCGCCAAGATAGTTGTGACTGAGTCTCAGCGGGGAGCCAAGAAGTCAGGCGTGGGGAGGACCCACTTCAATACCTTATTGGCTGGATATTCCACTTCTAGGCGATCTTTGATAAGGGGGTGTCCTCTGGCGGGGATGTTGTCAAAGTGTACCCAGAACTGTTCCCTCATCAATCGTTGTTTGTAGGAGGCAGTTGGCGAGATTCCGGCTCACTGTGCTATTCCCGATTTCCAGCGTGACAGTGTACAAAGAGAGCCATTACAGTTCAATGTTTCGCATTTTTCCAGCAAGTGTGTGGCTTGAGTGGCATCTTTGAACACCACCATCATCATGGTTCTGGCCAAACCGAGCAGGGAGAACTTGTCGGAATCAGGTTTGATGTTCTCCTGTTCCATAATGTTTTTTCACGATCCACTTCCTCTTCTCAACGGGTGAGAGTCTTGCTCCGACGTTGGAGAAGGAGAAAATGAGCGCATGCTTCTCGAATGTCGCGTTCCTGTCGGCTATCTTGTCTTTCGGATATGCCCACGCTGTCACTTCTTCATCAGTGCTGTCCTTGGTATTTCTGACTTCGATGGTGACTTTCTCTCCTCTAATTTGTGGGGCTTCCAAGAGGAAGCGCAACGTCTCATGGTCCACATTGGAAGCAATCTGGGAGGTAGGCTTAGAGGTGGCTGTTTTAGTTGCAGCTACCGCGCTAAAGCGGCGCTGGTAAGTCTGAGACATGTCTTTATCTACTGAAGTCGACCTGCGTGAATTGGTTATATTTTCCTGGCTTTGGGTTGAGCGATCTACGATGGATTATATTCCTCGTTTCTGATGCTGTTTTTTTTTTTTTTTTTTTTTTTTTCCCTATGCTACGTGTTCTTGTGCGATCTGTTTGCTGTTTGTTTGCAGCCTGCTGAATTATGCTGTTGAGAAACCTATCTGATTATCCACGTGGTCTGAGGTGAGCTGGCCGGCTTTTATGTTGTATGCAAAGCCTCAATCCAGTGCTTACGTGCGAGCTCAAGAATAAGTTGTTACGTGGGGGGG